CCATTCTTTTTACCTGAAAATTGGCATGGTTTTGGCTTCATAGTGTCGTCTGGAAGAAAATCAGGCATGCATTTTCTTAAGGCTGTGCAAACTTTGTTTAAAAGCTTCAAGATGAAATGCAAGTCCTGATTTCAAATACGGTTACAGGGGAGACTGAAATCCAGGAGCTCCTGGGTTATCAAAGGCAGTCATCTGCTGTGGCTTGCAAATACAGCATATAATCCTTTTCAAAAACAGAGCAAATCTCATCTTCAAAGTGCTTCTCTCCCTACCACCTCCCCAGGTTGCTCCCCCGGGAGGCTTTTACAGACCCTGTCTCTTCTAACTGCTCAAAATCTTTTTCGAATGTCCTGCCTAAGTGTCTTCAAGGCGCTTTATACCCATTTGTTCCTGTGCCAATATTGCCCTTAAAAAGAAAAAAAAAAAAAAGTCTTTTCTCTTGCTGCTGTGTCCCTGAAGTATTTTCAGAGAGCAATTATATGTCCTCCTAGGCCTTGTTTAGTTAGGCTAAACAAGTAAGGTGGTTTTAGCCCATTCTCTTGAGTTGATTGACGCCTTTCCCTTGATAGCAATGCCTCTCGGCTTCTCCTCAGGTTTTAGTTCTTTGATATATTTAAATAGAAGCAAAGAGGATTGTTCGGAGCATTCAAGATGAGGACTAGCGCCTTGTGCTGCACTCGTCGGTGCTTATTGTGTCTCCTCGGCAGTGCCTCTCTGCCCGCACATATTTCCTTATTTTTCCTACTTCTGGCAACTGCATTTTCATCCTTTGCCTCCAGTGCAGATGCTGGTTTTCCTGGTCAATGCCATCTATTCTTGTGGCTGTTTCTTCAGGCAGTTCTGTGTCCATCCCTTAGTCTCTCTGCACATCTCTTGCTGCACTTTTTCCCCCCTGAAACCTTGCTTGTCACTGATCCCAGACTGACTTCATCTATGTTTTTCTCATAATTTCTGTAATCTCTCAATTGGTATCAGAATGAAATCGGTAAAATAATCCTAAGAGGAGGTTTGGAAAGCTGCAYCTGGAGACTGGCATTGTACTGGTGGCACATGTCCCTGAGCAAAGCTGTCGTGTTGGCATGGACCAGTGTCCTGTGCTTCCTGAGCCTAGCTAGCAGCTGGAAAAATCCTGTGGAACATGCGTGTGTTTGTATATGTATATATACTTGTGCACACATATTTTGAGTGTCCTGTGCCTGCCTTCTGCAGATCTGTCACCACTTTTGTCCCTGCACTTTTGTCACCTTGCTTTTCCCTGTGAAAGCAAGGGCTCCAGATCGAAGTTTGGCAAGTACTAGTGCACGTGTTTAGGCTAAACTGCTGCAGTGGTGTAATATGGAGTAATTCAACTGGATTTGGTGAAGTTAGGGAGCTCTGCACGTGAGTCTGGCCTGGGGCATGTTGCTCAGATGTTCTTTGCCCGTGTGTTTCCAAGGGGGATCGGGCGGCTTGGCAGCAGGTTTGTGTAAACCTGGTGATGCTGCAGTTGTAGCTACCGCTCACCCAGGCAACGGGCTCTAAATCAACATTCCTCATCTGCATGATGTRGAAATTCAGCAAGAGCCACAGAATTTAAGGAAAGCAAATGTGCAAAGCTGCACGGACSTCAGGCCATGGCCTTTCATCTGTTTTTTCAGGTTGTAGCACAAGCAGGTTCCTTCCTTTAGGAAAYAGCCTATATTTTATTCATTGAGGCATTCCCTACTCCACTGCCTTGTGTGATTCCTGCTGCGTACAGATGTGAATATAGTGGCTTTAAATTCACCTGCCTGCTGCATATGTCCTTGAATCAGCAGTCTGCAGTGCACTTAGCTGCCTTATGGTAGCTGCTGCTTCCCTGCTTCCCACTGGGTGACCATTCATTCCAGCCCCATCAAAACCTCCAAGTGCCAAACTCGGAAATTTAACATTCAATTAACACTCTTTTGTTCAAGAAGCATTTTAAAATATAGTATACTGGTTGTATTACACTGCATGATAGAGGCTTTTCTTTGCTAATATCTTGCTGTAATCTGTGTCACAAGCTCTACACAGCAGAGGACAGTATAATTATTTCTCAATACTCTATTTACAATACTCTATTTACTCAATTCTCAATTTACTTTATATTTCAATGTTTAAATTATTTTATGTTTACAGTACTATTTTTATATTTAAAAATATATCTTGATCATATTATTTTTCCTCATTTTCTGCCCATATGTGAGAGAATTTGTTGCTTGTCTGCTTTCACAACCCACTAGTGTGTTCATATGTTTTGTATACCTTGGCCTGGATCACCCATTATTACTTTTATGGTTAAGTACTATGGGTGAATTTAGAATTTTTAAATATATGTGTGTAAAATACAAAGGATGTCAGTGTCTTTAGGTTAGGAAAACTTCAGAAAGTCTCAGAGAACACCCTGTCCAAAGCTGAATTGCTGCCCATACACAGCTGATGTATATTAGTAACAAATATAAGAAATTCCAAGACAGAAGATGATGAATTTGAACCAGGTCAGGGTCTGAGTGCTCTGGTGAGGTCAATTTAAAATGAAATCTGTTTTTAACTGTGAGGATCTATGTTTTTTCTGMTACCTGCTTTGTTTATCCCTGCATGGATTTGGTCACTTAAAATYCTTAAAAAGGTCAACTATGTTGCTTGAAGATGCCATTCTTGGGTAGGATTATCACATAATAAACACAGATAAATCACATAATAAACACAGAAAGCGTTCACATCAAAATCAAGTGATATTTTTTTTTTCCTGTTTGTCACGTCTGGGAGGACAATATTTGGATATAAAAATCACTACAGTGGAGGAGGGTCTAGATGGGATTTGCTGCCTCTTCAGCACAAGGTTGGGCTGCTGATGTAGGACTTCAGAAAACAATGCCAGCATTTCACCTGAAACTTCAGATTTACTAGAAACTTGATTTCAACTCTGTTAAAAATGYTACTATTTTTCCACCTACTTAGACTCTCGCTGCACTCTCTTCTGCTGGAGACATTTGAGCAGATGATGAAGTTTATTTGCTACCACGGGCAAAATAAATAAGCAGAGCACCTGGTAAAGAAGGTTGTAAGTACTCTGAGCTGTACAAGAGTGGGTGGCTTGAAAATACCCTGACATCAACCTTTCTTTTTCCTTCCTTGCTTATTTTCCTCTGGATGCTGCAAGCAGAAAAACACAATCAGAGCACCCGAATTCTTTCCTGAAGTTTTCGGAAAAGGAGCAGGATTTGGTGTACCTGTTGTGAGAGCAGTGACTCATGGAGATTGTTCTCCTTTGAAAGGTCTCTACTCCATCTACTCCTACGCCTTGTCTAAGAACTGAACAGGGAAAATATTCCTTTGCCATTGAAATACAAATCTGCCATTTCAGCTACTGTATAAGGATGTTCTATTCAGAATTATTTTGACTGTGTCTTTCAAATGTCCCCTCATATTTCTGTCCAAAATTGAAAAAAAMCATCATTTTAATAACTGGAAGTTATTTATAACAGGTAATGGAAATTATGTAGTTACCTTAGTGAGCAAATTATACAGAAGTAATCTGCTGTTAGATTTAATACGTAGATTATTATTTTTCTGTTATTTTTCTCAGAAAACTTGTGTGCAGCAGTTAGACCCAGGGGAGCAGAGAGAGGGGCTTGGTTCCTGTCAGGCTCCTGGAATTTGGGAGGATGCTGGTAGGGGTTAGGGAAAAGGAGAGGAGCAGGAGTAGCTGCTTTTTCCTTTTTCCCTGTGTTCAGCTCACTGCTGGTCACTTCTCCTTCCTGCTGGGTTTACTCATCTAGAAAGTCAGCCTTGGTATTAAAACAGCATTAAAGGATACTAAAAATCCTCCTAAATGTGAGTGCTATGGACCATTTAAGTAAGCGAACTTAGAAGTGTTAGTATCCAGAGTATTTTGGTATCAGTTGAGGGTAATTCCTGGCTCTATGAGTGCCTTTGAGTTTTGGCTGTGTTGCCAGTTTTGGGGAAATGAGCGCATCAGGAAAGGTTGTGGTTAACCCCTTGCTGGTAAGAAAGAGCAGTAATACCCTCTGTTGGCTTTGACTTAGGGAAAGTATTGTAATAAAAATGCCAAGGAAAGCCTACACAACAAGAAATTGAATTGTGAATGGTCTTATTCTGGGCCTAGAGATCCCTTCCGATAGGGTGCATGTGTTTCTGCAATTAATGGTCCTTGCCTGCACAACTGCTTTTCAARCGGTGAAGCTGTACCAAGATTTCCCAAGAGATCTGTCTTTATTAAAACAAAACAAAACAAAAAAAAAACAGCAAAACCCTTCTCTMTCTTTTCTCAGAATATTCTGGCACTCTGTGGGCACCCAGCAGAGTGCTATTTACARACGATATGCAAATCTAAGCAAGTTCCCAAATATACCTGTCAATGTGAGGTAATGTGGCTGACAAATATTGCACTACATGAAAGGAATGTCTAGCTAAAAATATATTAAGAAAAMACAACTGTTAATATAATTGCTAATAATATAATATAAAAACTGAGAGAAATGCAGGGAAATGTACATCCTGAATAACAAAATCACAGGTGAAGATGGATTTTCTTTCCTTTTTTTATTTCTCTTATAGTTTTAATTCTTAAAATCATGTCAAGTGTCTAAATACATCAGCCTAAGWAAGACACAAAGCATGTAATTCTTGAATAGAGCAGTTAACCCCAGGAAAGATTTAACCTTCTCATCTTTTCTTGAAAATGTATTTCAATACTTACCTTAACTATTTTGGGTTATTTTAAAAAATAAATTCAATTCTGACTGAAATTATTATCTGAAATAAAATTTCACAAGTCTCTTTTTTTCCACAAGGGACRATCAAATATTTGGAATGTCTTATACCTACATATTATTTTTAACAATTAGCATAAGTATTCTTTGCTGTTGTTTATTAAAGTTATCGAATTGGAGGTTGGAGCCCATAAGCTGGAAACTAATGTGGGAGCAGAAAAGAGAAAGCTGCAGGATGATGTGGCACTATTACTTTGGAAACAAGGCATATGTATTTTACAGAAAATGGAGTGAAGAAAAGGTACATTAGAAAAACACTGTGTCTGAGTGACTTGAAAAGAAGGCTGGATGCTGTAACTGCAGGGTTGTCTAAGGTGGGATTTCTGGAGAGAGGAAATTGCACAGGATGCTATCCCRTCTTCCCTGAGCCTCATGATAGACCCAGAGGCTGGACTGTAAGACTTTGTCATTATCAGCAGAAACATTTCAGACAATATTTGGAGCTTGCACTCAAAGAACAAGCTGCAATGTTTCCAAGGCCTTCGTGTCCAAAGGAGAAGAAATCCTGGAGAAATGACAGCTCCAGGTGGGAAGGCAGGAAGCAGCTATTGAGTAGAGGCTCCTGCTGAATGTTCCTTCTGCTCTTGATATCTGTATTGTGCAAGAAAGATTTTTTTTTTTTGAACAGGGAGAAAATGCACTCCAGATATATTTGMAATTAAATGGCCAGACTCCAGGCAGACATGTGAATGCTCCAGACACAGAGAAGGAAGATAAGCGGCTCAAAAACCTTGGCTGAGGGAGTGAAGACATAAAGAGAAATGCCAAGAAAATGAAGGTAAACTCAATATGTACAAAAGACTTCAGGAAATGTACTGAGGTATCAAAAATGAATCACAAAAAGAATCTGCAGATACCAAAAAGGTCACCTGGGGATTAATTACCCTAAATAAGCAATTGGCAAAAATGAACAGTAGGACAAGATCAATGTGAAAGAACTGAACCAAACTTCAACCTGTTTTCACTAGAAGCTGAGGAAATTCAAATGTGTGTTTTTAGATACTCTTTAAAATAGAATAAAGGATAGTAAGTGCAAGGTGGGGGCAGGGAAGGTAGAGAAAGAAGGGGTTGCTGTGTGAGGGAATCTAATATTAGTTTATCCTTAATAGGAATTGCTGGGATTCCTTAAATGGCAATGTGGCTGCAGCATTGCTAGTAGGTATTGCTGATGATTTTTATTTATCTTTTTATTATCTTTTTTTTGTAGGAGTATGGCAATTCAAATTTTGAACGTGACCACAGAATCGTGATAAGCGTGTATTTAAAAAGACCTTTGTTTTCAAATAGCATTAGCCCTCCTCAGCAAACCAACTCCTTGTCAAATTCTCTTCTCCTTAAATATTGTGTGTGTCCAAGGGCTGACCAAGACCATTAAAAAGCATTCAGACTTGTATCATTCTTCCTTTAAAGTCCCATTTTGAGGAGGGGGAGATCAAAGGCAAAAGCATTACTTCAATGCTTCTTTTTACCTTCAAAAAATAAGAAGTGTCAGATACGCTTTCAAATGCCTAATGTATCATGTTAAAGCTCAATTTAAAGGAAAGGTAAGATGGGTTTAAATTGTCAAATTATTAGTTACATTAAGTGTGGGGTATGTTCCCACAAAAAATCAAAATGATCTGAAAATCTGAAATCATCATAAATGCTGCTGCGTGAGGAAGACAGGGAACCTTTGAGAGGCTTGTAGTTGCTCACAGGCTCCCTACTGGGACAAGCCTGATTCAAAAGACCAAAAGAAAAATAATCAAACAGGTGCAGCATTAACCTTCCCCTTTTACCAGCAATTTATTCTCCCCAAATGTTGCAGTGAATTGTACCCAGAGGAGCAAGATTCAGCGTTTTATCCACACCCTCATCACTTACGCAGTAGAATGGATTAAATGCTAATCTCTTAATAATCCTTAAAGAAGCAAGACAGATCTTCAGAAATTAGCGCTGTTTAATTGTGAGATGCCACCTCGAAGGAAGTGCTTGTTGTTAGTCRGGGCAGGTCCCAGTCGCTGCTGGGTTTGGAAGCAGGCAGTTGCCTTCTCCAGGAGCAGGCACTGCTGCAGCAGCTGCAGACTGTATGGCTTAATGCTTGCCAAAGAGTGATATACATTTCTATAGGTAAGGCTGTCTTTCAGAGACACGTAAATCAGCAGTTTGAAAGCTTTTAATAAGCAGTCCTTCTCATGTGGAAAGTGAAATCAGGGAAGAACAATATGATGAGGTTGAGAAGAAGGTTGCTGTAATTACAGGGCACCTGATATTGGCGTCCCGGGAGGTGAATGAGTGTGTGGATGACAGACTCCTTTCTGTGCATCCTCAATGCATAGGATATGCACTCAGTGTAAATAAAAGAACAGGGAACAATGACTTGAGGGCTACAAGGTCTTCAAGAGCAACAGAGATTTAGCAACTTAAAAAAAAATCAAAGGTTTTTGTAATTATCCATGAACTACTTAATTTTGTTTAAAAAATAGCCCGAGATACCTGAGCTCTGAAGTTTAAAAAAAAAAAAAAGCTGAAAATAGCAAACTTGACAAATACATGAAATTGTCCAAGAAACATTTTGAAAAAGTAATAGCTGAAATTACAGTTATTACTAGCAGAAGTAGGAGAAAATTTATGACTGAACAGAGATGTCCATGGTCCCCTGCATTTTCTTATCACCCGTGGGACATTTTGCACAGAGAATAAAGAATAAATCTGTTGCAGAAAATCTTGAAAGATATTCTGTGTTTATCATTTTATCTACACTGAACATTTTTAAAAATATTTTTTAAGGCAAGTGGCTTTATCTTCAGACTAATTCCTATCAAATCTGAAGTTTTAGTTGTAGGATTGCCTGACTTAGATGCTCTTCCAAAAGTTTTGGTGCAAATTGAGCAGAAGATTTTTTATCTGCAAGTCAAAGTGATAGGAGAACTAATGTGCAATTTCATTATTTAAACAGCAAACAAAAAAAGAATATTTAATGAGGAACATTTTATCATTCCAAATTCATCTGGCTGTCTTCTAGGTTAAACTCTAGTACGAATACTAATATTGTTACAAGTTGTTGTCTGCCTAGTATTCAGCATTGCCTAAGATATGCAGAAATATGATGTATATTTATCCTTTCCTGGTGATGCATAATGCAAATAGTTAAATCTTTAGCCTAAACCATAACCAGAAGATTAAATGATTAGAAAGCAGTGGAATACATTTTTGTTCCTCTCCTCCTGTAGAAATCTGGACAAAAAGTGATTCTGTTGTCTCCTTCATCTYATGATTCCTTTGAGCCATCCTACATCTGACCATACGATCCATCATATGTCTGACCTTTTCAATATGCAGTTAACTTTGATAGAGAGAATGATCATAAATAAGATTTACCTTTTTAAAAGAAGAAAACAAGGCTCTATAATCATCTCACTTCTAGTATTTTCATATCTGTTATATATTACTCTCCCTGAACTTTCTAAATAGTCATATGAGAAAAATAACATGGCTCTAGAAGCCAAGGAATGGAAAACAATTAAGTAGCAAGTAAGTCTATTCCAATTATATGAATTTGATAARATAGGAGTAAGAGGAAACTATGAAATGATATAGGTTCTTGTGGTTGGGGAAAAAAAAAATCCRTGGTAAATGTTTTTGATAAAATCTTAATTTTCATTTGTTCCATGAGACAGTGGCTTGAACAGAGTTCGGTTAGATGTCTTGGAGTGCCAAAATGTGTTTTTAAAAAACAAATTTCTGAATGAGTTATATATTCATAAACAGATTTCATGAGCTTTCTCTGCCATCAGATCAGTTTTTTACCCTTCCAAGACCTAATAACTTGAGGATCATTTATCTTCAGTAGCAATGTGTCTGTGAAAACACAGCAGTTAGAATTTAAGCCAAAAGAAGTGCTTATTTCAATGCAGGATGCCAAAAATGTTACTTTTAAATACATACATATATATATAGGATTTTTTATGTATTAATGTATTATTTACCTTTAGGCATTGTATAAATCTTCACACATGCTAAAACTGCAGAGGAACAATTATCTTAGAGGAGTGAAGACATATAAAGTGAGATACTATCAATTTAAACCCTTACATATATACACATAGACTTTTTTTTTCTGATTAGACAAATACAGCAAGAACTTTTTATATTTCAGTAACAAGTTCTGCAGCTCCTCTAAAATAAAAAGTCTTCTTAATTTCTTGGGTAGCTTGTTTGGACCCCAGACTTCAACAAACTTTAAAACAGCAGATTTGGTCAAATATGAGACCTTACTATGTAGAGGATTTGTAAGTAAAAAGTCTTCATGAGACGAGGCATTTAGGGACAGAGTCTAGCAGGTATAAGTGGTGATGGGTTTAATGTCGGCCTTGATGATCTTGAAGGTGTTTTCCAACCATTATGATTCTATGATTCATCTCTCAGCTTATGCTATGAAAGTGAAAAATAATGCATTTGAATAAAGTGTTTCCATGGAACTCTAAATTTCAGTGGCAAGTAGACTTTCCATGCTCACAATGTAGTAGATAAATATGGTTTTATTTGCTTGGACTGTAGTTTTGTACCCATTAGAAGTTTGTTCAATACACAGGCCTTGCTTTTTCATTAAAATAAGATTTATTGGGCAACAAACTCCCTCTTGAACTTAAATAAGAAAATTAAAATTTAGGAAGGTTATTTCTGTACACATGTAATTAATGATTAAAGATGTAATTAAATATAAAAGGAGTTTTAAACTTTGAAGAGCTTCCATAATGAGTTCCTAATTTTAAGAGATATGAAATAACTTTGAAAATTCATTTAAATATGCATTTTTTTTGACAAATGTAATGCGTTAACACATTTTTCATTGGAGAATGAAAAATACATACTGGTGGAAGAACGTTGAGGATTAATTAGTGGCATATTTTAAATGATTTAAAATAACCATGACTAATAGATTATCAATATCTATCAATGATGGCTAAGCTGCTACAATAACTGGAAATACAAATGTGCTATTTACATACCAAAGGCACGATAAAATAATTCCTTATTGCTCCTGTGAAATTTTCCTAGGATTAACTTTGCTCAATAAAGGAGTGCTCTAACTCAGTAACTAAATAGCACATTTAGAAGATGATATAGTAGAAACTGCTACTCATTTTAAAATATTGATGATGGATTGAAGTATTTCCAAAGTAACAGATTTTAAGCAGAAAACTGTTTGGTCAAAACTGAATCATGTTCTTCCATAACAATCTTTAAGGAAAGTGTAAGTTATTTTTTAAATTTGGTAATCTATTTTAGATAAGTAAAATATACTGCTCAAGACAAAGCATTTTGACCTTTTTTGCTCATTCTGTATCAGTCTATTCCAGAAACTACTTAGTGTTTTTTTTCTTTTTTTTTTTTTNTTTTTTTTTTTTTTTTTTTTTTTTTTTTTTAAGAAATCTGTCATTTGGGATCTTATTCTATTTGTCTGACACAAAAAGCTAGTAAAGTATCATATCCAATTTTTAGAAAAAAATGCAAGGGGAAAATTTAATTAAAAAACTAAAAGCAATTTTCATTATAATTTCCAAACACATTGCAGCAAATGTGTCTCAGATTTTATCAGCCTAGTAGATGGAGATACAATAATGGGCTCTTTTGCACATCTCTGTTATCTCAGGTTGCCCTATTGCTTAGAACATTACTTCTGAATTTCTGTATTATAATGCAATTTTCAATAGACCTTCCTACGTAGTTTCAGGGTGTGACATTTGTTTTGGTGCCACAGATGGGTTTAATTAAGAGAGAAAGCAAAGGTGCTCAGTTATGTTCATGTGGCACAGCAGCACAGTATTGAGTTGAGCCCCTTTCCTCGCTGGCATCAGTCACAGATCTGCAGCATAGAAGGTGTGCACATATATCACATAAATCATATACAATATATGTTCTAGGCTTAGGACAAGAGCCCTGAATACAACTTCTCCTTCCTGCRTTGTGAGCACTCAGCAACTATTTAGAGTGTCTCTATCAATAAATAGAAAGCTCTTTGCTTTGGCTGCAGACAAATGTTTTTGACACGGTGGCAGTTACAGGCTGGTTTCCTGCAATAGATTTTACTGATCCAGAAGTCCAGTATTGTCAGTCTTTTGCAATGAAATAAGGTCTCAACAGATATTTTGTTTTATCTAGTATTCTGTCTTTCATTTTCTATGTTTTCTCTCTCTCTCTCTCTCTCTTTTTTTTCCCCTAGTCTCTTGCAAGTATGACAGAAATTGTGAGAATATTAACCTTTTTATTTTTTTGTTGCCAGAGTTGAAAGCGGGGTTAAAAACAACGCCGTGTTGGGGCCTGGTGTATAACACATCTCTGTCAATAATGATGTCCACAGAGAGAGTGCTGTTTCCATTAAAAACAAGGAAAAAATGGCATACTTTATATATTCCTGAGGGCATTTTTTCATACAAAAATATGAGAACCTTGTGATTATTTGGCAGGTTTATTTAAGTGCTGTGGTAGATAGTATTCACTTCATCTGCTTGTCAAGAGCTCATTCATTCAATTTTCTCTTAGGAAGTTAGAA